CCAGATTATGAGCGAAGATGTCTGAACAATCAATAGATTCCTCTATTGCCAGACTGAACCGAGTGCTTTCCATGTCTTTTTAACAAGTTAGAAAACAGATGGATTCAACTGCAGTAAGATGAATTGAAAGCATTTCAGGCAGACGCGTGCAGTTTTGATATTTAACTATATCCTCTTTGTTTTTAAATTCTGCAACAAGTGATTGGCTGCAGTTCAAGAAGCACTGCTCTATCAATTCACCTTTGGTAAAAGGTCTTTTTGATTTTTGCTATGCACCAAGCTATTTTGAAGGAGGCTTCTGTAACGGCATCGCTGTCTTTAACTTGCAAATGGAACATACCTTGAGCATGGAAACCTTCCAGTAAAGAACGTATCTTAGGGCTTTTTTTAATTGCTGTTCGGTGGATACAAGTCTTTGAAGTCAGGGTGACCAGATTCATGGTGTCGTTGCAGTTTTAACACAGCCGTTCATCTTTTGACGATGACACATTGGTGTTCCCTTTCTTGCTACAAAAGCAAATTCCATCTCCCCACCGGTTGAAAACCTTGCATTCATCCAGAAAGTGTCTCTTCTTTACCATTTTTAATGCTTATTAAAAAAAATTGTATACCAGGGTTTAGCTTGAAGCTAACCATCTAGCTTGACTTTTGGCAATGCTTGTGAAAGTTAGAGGTCTGCTCCTCTGCCTGTTGTACCAGTGTTTTTGGAGGCAAATGATCACTAGGATTTACTGTTGGGCTGTGTCTAGACTGGCAAGTTTTTCCGGAAAACTTGCTTTTGCGGGAAAAACTTGCCAGCTGTCTACACTGGCCGCTTGAATTTCCGCAAGAACACGGACTTCCTAGAGCCTGAAATCAGTGCTTCTTGCGGAAATACTATGCTGCTCCCGTTCAGGCAAAAGTCCCTTTTGCGCAAAGCTTTTGCGCAAGAGGGCCAGTGTAGACAGCTCAGATTTGTTTCGCGCAAAAAAGCCCCGGTCGCGAAAATGGCGATCGGGGCTTTTTTGCAGAAAAGCGCGTCTAGATTGGCCACGGATGCTTTTCTGCAAAAAATGCTTTTGCGGAAAAGCGTCCATGCCAATCTAGATGCTCTTTTTTCCGCAAATGCTTTTAACAGAAAACATTTCCGTTAAAAGCATTTGCGGAAAATCATGCCGGTCTAGACGTAGCCTTGTTGTGTATCTCTTGCGGTGATTTTACTATAAAAAGAGAAGTTTCCCGGGCACAGCGCTCTAACCTGCGGCAGGTGGGGAGCTGGCCGAGTCAGGCTGGACATGAGGCGCAACAAGACGGGGGCCTGGGAGGGCTGACCTCCCCACACGGGAGTCTGTTGCTCTGTGTGGGCCAGAGGCAGGGCTGTCTGGTCATGGTGCTGGACCCAAATGTGGCCAGCGTGAGCCAGTCAGCATCCCTCAGGCTCTGCCCCCCAAGGCTAAGTACTTCCCATAATGCCCTGGTGCTTTTGCACCACCTCCCTGGGGGCTAGAAACACCAACACCCTGTCCCCATCTGCTCCAGCTAGTCTGTCCACTGGTGTTTTTCAATGCTCACCCCACCCCACCTGGGAGATGCCTTGCTGTGGTGAAGGTCGTACCCAGTGCAGGCTGTGTTCAAAGCATCCCATCTGCAGGCCCTGTGTTGAGCCCCGTGTAAAGCCAACCTGCCCCATGGGCTGCAAACATGCGGGCTGTGTGTTGAGTTGCCCTGGTCTAGATCATCCCTCGCAGGTATCTGTCTAGCCCAGTGGTACAAGTACCCTCAGGGCTACTGCGGGGGGCGGGGGAGGGTACGTCAACACAACTGAAATGTGGAGAAAACAGCACTTTTTTGGTACTTTTTATACCCAAAAATTTCACCACTCACCCACAATTAAGTTGTTTAAACAAACGTGTGGTAAGGAAAAAAAATTGTCTGAAAAGTGTAGGTAGTGGTGTGTGTGTATATTTTTTTTAAAAGGGGTACTTTGTAAGAAAAGGTTGAACACTGATCTAGCCTGCTCTTAAAGATCTCCAATTATGAAGATTCTGCAACCTTTCTAGGTGACTTTTTTTTTTCCCAAGGGTTTAGTCACCCTGACAGGAGGTGTTTCCTCATGTCCAATTTAAACCTCCCGTGCTGCAATTTAGGCTCATTGCTTCTTGTCTTATCCTCAGAGGTTAAGGAGAACAATCTTTCTGCCTCCTCCTTTACCCTCCATGCCCTTTTCCAAACTCAACAAACCCAGTTTTTAGTCTTCCCTCAGCGGTCATGTTTCCTAGACCTTTAATCATTTCTGTTGCTCTCTGCTGGACCACCTCCAATTTTAGCCACCTCTTTCCTGATGCGTGCCCAGAACTGGACATGACACTCCAGAAGAGGCCAAATGAGTAGAAGAGGATTATGTCTTGGATCTAGCTTACACTCTTTGAAACAGGGCCTCTCTGCTACTGGGTTCGTGCGTCACCTTGGGCACAACTCCACTAAACGCTGGCCGGACCCAGGTGTTGGCTGAAAGAGCACATGTGCATCCGTCCGGCCTTTCTGGCATTGCCCCATGGTGGAAATGCAAAGGATTGCAGCCTGTAGCACAGAAGCCGCCTGACCTGGATACATTCCCACGCTCCGTGGTAGAACGGAACCTGCTGGTGGTGCTGCGCACTTACTAGCCTGACAGCAGAAAATTTGATGGTAATTTAAAATTCTACCCATTTTCCTCTTTCCCTGAAGGGAGAGGAGTGTGGCG